ATATACTCACATATTTATATATACACATACATACACGTTTTATAACTGCCCCCCTACTTTTGTCCCTGGCCCACCATGTGCCCCCCACCCCCAAATATGAATCCTAGAGATGCCACTGGTTTTAGGACCCTCTATCACCTTGTTGTTTGCTCTCCCCAAGTTTAAAGGGTAATCCAGATGTGGACCCTTTTCTCACAGTGCCTTCAATGGATCAGCTATAACTCACTGATGATGCCTAACAAGGTTGAAACGATTGTCTTATGTTGCCGTGTCTTTGTGCAGAGAGAGACGGCCTGCATTTCAGATCTGTTACGCCTTTTTGGGTGGTATTAGTCTGATATACAAATGTCCCTGTTTATATTTTTTTGTGTTGGCAAAAGATGTGCTAAAACCAGCTTGAGATTTGAGCAAGGGAACCACCAAAGGGCAGGCTACTTGAGCTGTTGTCCGTTCTCAGTACTTTCTTGCACCTTGTATTTTTCTCTCCCCAACTTTAAAGGGTAATCCAGACATGGACGCAGGTTCAGGTTCGATTATGGCAGCGGAAGCACCTCTAGTCAGGAAGACAGCCACTAGAGGTGTGTTAAATCCTGCAATGAAAACATTAACATATCTATAAGACGGCAATGCTTTACATTGTTTGGTTAAAATGATAGGGTCACTGCACTTAAACCACATCATTGAGATGAAGTGTTCTGCGTGCCTTTGGTATGCCTTTAAATTAGTTAACTGATGATATTAAAGTTGAATTGATATTTATGATCATGCTTTTATGGACCTGTGATAAAATACGGTCGCTCTATAAATGACACACAGTCAGTTTGAGGGACTGTACGGTCAACGATCGACTTGTATAGTGCCGAAGTACAGTGTCCTGCCCTGGCTGGCACAGATACTTCCTCAAGCTGTTGAACTAGTAAATAAATAGCAATAGTGTTTTAGCACAGTAAATTGAGAAACAGTAATTTGAGAACCAACATCTAGACTGTTATATAAGTATAATTAACATGGGACTTCTTACAGAGGCCATAAATCAGCTAGTCGTGCAAAACGTCCTCTGGCGGCTTGCTTCTCTCCTGCTGACATGGTGCATTCATGGACATATTACAGACATAGTCTATACTGTCCCTTCTTCTAAAATGAGATATTTGTAAAGCAGCTGCCTCCTCCATATTGGGATACAGGTATCTTTTGCTTTATGTCAGGGAAGTCAAGGTTAGGTGTCTTAAATTACTTTACCTCCTCAAGGTTAATGATGGGACAGTGAAAAAAAACATTTGAATGGTTTAGTGAAGCAAGAGTTTAGAAAAACCCTAGGAGTCCAGAAGTTTTGTTTAGCAAACAAAAAAATAAAAAATAAAACATTTTGTCTCGACTGTTAAATAAAAGTCTTTGAAACATAAAACAGGCTGAAACAATGATGTCTCCTACTAGCAGAAATGAAAAGATCAATACCATTACTATTCTAAACTTGCTTGTAACAGCCACCGGTTCCGTGAAAGCAATGCTCTCACAGAAAGCTGCAGCGAAGTCCACGAAAGCCCAGGAGGTGCTAAAAAACATCAATATGCACAACCTTGGGCGGCTTCATTGTTTACCAAACGTAGACTATGACTAAAGTTTGTTTGTACAAAAATGCATCAGGCATGATATATTGCTGGTCACCTACATTGCTATGGAAGGCAAGATGTTTAAAGTTTCTCAATTAACTTAATTTAAAGACTCTGAAGTTGTTGATTTTCAAATATAATATTGCATGCACATGTTAATATATGCAAATCTAATCATGCACATCCGCCAAACTATATGTAGCAATTTGTGAATGAGAGGCAAAGTCCTGGGAATTAAGTACAGTTTTCAAAAATGATCTACAATGTAGTTCAATTAATTAAATCCTTTCAATGCAATGTTACAATTTGATGGTACTGACAGGGGAACAGCAATCAGACCAGTACCCATTCTACAATGGTTAACTGAGTGGTAAAGGTGAAATAATAGATAGTTGGTGTGTGCATGGATGTACTGTATTTCTTTAGCTGTGTACCAAGCTGTTTGTGATTACTCTTGCACCCTTCTCTCTGCCTTTCATAGGGACAAAATATATAGATGAGCCTCCACAGTGCCAAGTCTCCTAGCCTCCACCTCCTAGGCCGTACCTCTTACATCTCACATTGAGCTTATAGTGAATGTGAGGTTTCACCCATAAACTCTTCTTAGGAGCGAGTTGTTTTTGAGTATGGGAGAATATGGTTTTGTTTTTTTGACAATCTTTATTTTTCCATTTATTTTATACAGCACGTTTAAGTCAACACACACACATTCAAACATGTTCATCTCCTTATACAGAGGCCAGGTAAAAAGAGTAACACACTCCAGATAGGCCGCCATTACATCTGGAAATTTGTCGGAATCTTAGCAATAGAATAAAGCTAGAATTTAGACAGCGCTGATACATCTGAGCAGCAAACAGGGCCACAATCCCGGGACCACCGGAGGACACATGTGACTCATGCGCCGGGTGGGGCGTGGGGTATGTGGCTTTCCATTCTACCTCGTGAACGGGCATTCTGAACTGCATGTAGCCTCTGCCACCGTATTCTAGGCGGCCCTCTAATGGGTTCGCCCCTGGCCCAGTGTCCCCTCGGTATCCCCCGACCCCCTACACTGGGTCGGTGGTTCGTGGGCGAGGTCTGCCAGCTGCAGGTTGCCCTCCGAGGCTACCGTGCCCTTTCTCCTCCCCTAGCGTAAGTAGCCTGAGCCCCCTAGGGGTCAAATCAGGTACCACCGCCTGTATTGAGTCTAAAGCCCGGGGTGAACCAAGTGTGTGAGGCTGAAAGCGCCAGAGGACCATCCCCCGTATAATCCAGAGGCTTTGTTAACCTCCATCCCTCCACTCCGACCCCCCTCGTCCTGAGAATATGGGTTTTATTCACTATACTCAATGAAGCTGTGACACTACAGGCATTCAGATGACTTCATTTCAGTGAAGTGGTTTGGGTGCCATGTCCCTACCCTCCCTCCCTCCCTCCCTGTTTTAACCCTGCAGCTGAAAACATTTCTGTTCCACATAATGATAATTGCATGGTTTAAGTGCCTCTAGTGGCTGTTAAACTGTTAGACTAGACACTCACTAGATGTTGTCCAAAAGAAATAGCTCAGTAGAGGTCAACAATTACCAGATTTTACTAATTTCATGAACTAAAGTCATGATTTTATTAAGGACAGGGAGGTGAGTATTCTGCTTTATCTCTTTATTTGTCAGCAGCAAAGAAAGGATGCTGTACATATACAAAGGAAAAAAGTTAACATGTACCCTAGAGGGTTAACCACATTATAACATCTTATCCAATAGGAATGCTCCTTCTACTATAATGTCCCATCAGCCACTCCTCCTTCTTAATGATGCAGACGAACATCTCCACAAGACCGCAATGTACGACCAACTAGATGCGAAGGACAGCGACTCCCGGATGATCCAACAATGGAACTTATCGGATAACTTGCAATCCTCTGAATGTGTATTGAACCGATGTGGACTAGTGTGAAACCAAATAGGAGGCTGTAAAAACAGACAAATAAGTGGAAAAATATGCTCTTGGATATTAAATTTTATCCACAAAGTATCAATTATCATAACAGTATATCTGATTTGTCAACAATAACGTCAACAGAAATTAGTCAATTAGGTGAACAACAACAATACCATGAAGACTGCATACGTCTTGTGAAAATAATACATATACCCCAGGGAGGGTATAACATACCTGTATCGGGTGGGATAATACACGCCTCTGTATTCTTAATAAAATCATGACTTTATGTCATGAAGTTAGTAAAATCTGGTAATTTTATTAAAGGACACGGAGGCTCATATTATGCTTGTTCAAAGCTGTGCAACCAACCGTAGTGGAAAAATGATTAACTGGACAAAAATAGGATTCCTGAAAAGTATGCACTACACAAACACAGACACTGCATCCAAATCAGCAGCACAGAGGAGGTCTTCTAGTCTGCAGCCTAAGGAGAAGGCTTTAGATGCCATAGTGCCTCGACAGAGTGAGCTCCATATGTGGAAGTGTCAATGTCAGCCGTCGTCATGATCCATTTGACCCAACGAGATAAGGTAATTGTAGAAACAGTTTGATGTGGGCACCGAAGGGCTAGAAATAATCAGCATATTGAGGCTCACATACTGAGGAGGTCTTCTCCTTATATTCCTTTAGACAGGCCACTGGGCAGAGGTTAACATTATGTGGAAGAGCTGGATAAAAGACAGAGCTAATGGATGTTTTTGTACACCTTGAAATGTCAAAGGAAACACAATCTGGAGTAAAGGAACGTGCTGTAATGTCCAGTGCACAAACGTCTGAGACCAGGAGACCAGGAGATGAGACAAAGCAACATGACTAATTTTTCCGTGTGGCTGCTTGAACGAAAGGTCTTCATTTGAGGCCAATTTTCAAATAGTCAAAGGACGAGTCCCACCTGCTCTAACGAGGTATATTTAGGACGTGCAAACCTGATGCCACGAAGGAGTCGACATACCAAAAATGTTTACCTACTGGAAATCTGTTCCAACCCTGGTGGCCTGCCAAGATGGCTGATCTATATATATTGATCGTACGGTATGCTAGTTCCTGGTCCAAAGTGAAGTGAGGAAACTCAAAACATGACTCACAGGTGCAGATATGGGATCCATGTGTTGTTTCATGCACCAACCATTCCATGAGTTCCAGGCATGGAGATAGGATTTCCTTGTTTCTGGGTCCCAAGCTAATAACCGGAGATGTCCCTGAAGAAGTGGATGTGGGTTCCCGTTGAGATCCAGTAATAGGTTGGAGAAGACCGGGAGAAATCTCGGGTAATCTATGGACATTTCTATGAGTCTAGGGAACCGTGGCTGAGCTGTCCAGAATGGGGCTATGAGGATCAAGGAGGTCTGGTAACGCCTGAGATGTAGAAGTGTCCGAGCAATAAGAGAGAAGGGTGGAAAAACTTAATGGCGAGTACCCGGCCATGGTTGCAGGATGGCATCTACTGCAAGAGCCTCTGGATCTGGTCTTCAGCTGAAAAATTTCACTAGGTGAGAATTCAAACGTTATGCAAATAGGTCGACCTCCAGAGGGCCCCAAAGAGACTGCAAACAGAGAAGAAACGGAAGGGTTCAGCTGCCAATCACTGGCATCCCATAAGTGTTTGGAGTTCCAATCTTCCACTATGTTGGACATCCCTGGAATGTACTCTCCGCTTGCACCGAGATATTTTGATCCAGGCAGACCCGAGGTGGTTGATGTACAGGACCGCTAAGATGTTGTCCATCCGTAAAAGTATGGATCAATTGGTTGATACACCCAAGAGACTCCATAGGGCAAAGGAGCCTGCCAGTAGTTCGAGGCTATTGATATGCATTTCTTGTTCTTCCAGGGATCATTTCCCCCCCACTGGAGGTAGGCCTGAAGCGTGCGCCCCAGCCGAGCATACTTGCATCTGATTCTGTGATGAAGTCTGGAGCGGTTCCAAAGATTGGTCGACGGTTGAATCGGTGCTGTGGGAAGGCTGATGATCCTGCCCAGCTGTCTCAGGGTCAGGGCAGGACAGGACGGGCTAGCGTCCGACGGATTATTTCTTTATGGATTTGATCTTGGAGGGTGGTAGTAGGAGTGCCCCGGACATGAAATCTATGGTGAATCCCAGGAATTCTATGGATTGAGGTTTGAAGACCGACTTTACCCAATTGAAGGAAACCTAGGTCATCGTCCAGGACAGGTGTACGTGGAGCATGTGAGGGTCCTGTGCCATTACGAGGATATCGTCCAAGTATATGTGAGGCAAACTCCTTTGCTGCGTAGATGGGCCACTACTGGTTTCAGTAGTTTTGTGAAGCACCAGGGGGCAGAAGAGAGGCCGAATGGAAGGCATTTGAATTGCCACATGGTCTTTTCTCACCAAAAATTGCAGGAATTGTTTGGAGTCCTCGGCCATCGGAACGATGAGGTATGTATCCTGTAAGTCGAGTTTGACCATTCAGTCCTCCGAAAGAAGGTCTCAAAAAGAGTGAACAAATTCCATCTTGAAATGTTAGTATTTGACAAAAACGTTTAGAGATCGTAGATTGATGACAGGTCGAATCCCTCCACCTTTCTTGGGGACTAGGAAGAGGTTGCTCAGGAAACCTGGGGTTTGAGGGTGAATTTCTGAGATAGCTCGCTTGGATGCTAGGGACTGTATTTCTTGCGACATCATGTGTCGGTCATGTGCTGAGAACAGGCGGTTGGGTAAAAAACTGTACGAAATCTATGAAATAACCCAGGACAGTTTCAAGGACCCAAGCATTGACAAAATGTCTTAATCCCCCCCACTGCAACTGAAGGCAAGTAGCATGAAGTTGAACTTACCATAAGGCCATCGGTCATAGGAGGAACCTCTGGGTCCACGAGACTGTCAAGGTCTGCCTCGGCCTGGGAAAAATGGTGAATTGGGTTTGGGCTCAGGTGTTAGGTGTGATCGGAGCCTCTGGAACCTGGTATAAACCCCAGGAGGAACTCTCTGGGAGAGAACTCGTTTCATATTGGCTTGCGCCTTCTCAAGTGTTGCGAAGGTCTATACATATGTGTCTAACTCTTCACAAAATTTTCTCCAAATAGGAGACCTTTTGTCTGTGGTCCAGGCTCTGAGATAGCTAGATTCACTAGCTTAAGCTCTATTTTATGAGTATTGCCTTGCGCCTCTCAATAGCTAATGCCGTATTGGCATTACCAAGCAAACGTAGGGATCGTTGGATCCACCCCCTGATGGTTAACAAGTCTGCAGGGGTGCCACCTGCTAAAGCTATCTTGATCATGTCGAAAAAAAATTGCACTTGGTGCCAAGACATTCAGGATTTTATCCTGGCAGTTCAGCACGAAAAATCTAGGCCTTTTTTTGCCTTTCACCCTGTTTTGCCCAAGAATTGGGTGAATTTTAGGTCCACGTCCGGCGTGGTACATGCTGTATTGGGGAGATTAGGTCATGGTTACACGTTATCACCGCAACATACAGACAGCGAGACGTGGCCACCCTGGAATAGCCCAACAGGGGACTTGAACCTGAGGTCTTGTGCATTCCAGGTCTGTGTCTCTGCCTCTGACCAACATTCAGTTTTTGCTTTCAGCCTGGAAGTTCATTCCTGCCCTGTCAATGTCCAGCCCCAAGTGCTGGATACTAATTTGGAATTACTCCTGGTACACCTGTTGTGGATAGTCTCGTTAGCCAGGTATAAAACACTGCCTCTCCCAGAAGGCAGTGTTAGTTCCTTGACTCTTGTTATCGGTTTGCTGTCTCCTGTTATCCAGTGTATCTCTTGACCCCGGCTTGTCGTTTCATTGATTCTGATTTCTGGCATCCTTTGACCTTTGGCTTCCCACAATGATTCTCCTGCTTTATCCGTTCCTGTACAGCGACTTGGAGAATTATCCTGCACAGCCCCCTTGCACTGACTCACAGGCCAGGTGAATTCTTACCTGACGACCTCGGCCTGTGTTTACTTGCAAGAGTGAGCATATATCTCTGCCTGCTGGACTCCCAACTCAGGTAAGCCCTGACACATGGGCATTCTGTCCTGAGTTCGTTCCGTGCAACCTTATCAAGCGGTTTTCTAATGTGAGCAGCAATGTATTTTGCCACATGATCCAATGGGTACCACTGTGAAGATCGCAGATGCTGCAGGCTGTCCGGGTCAAAGAGTGGTTCACATTGAGGACAAAGGAGGGTGGAGTTATCCACCCTGACCTTCAGGTCAACCCCAGGTCCGGACAATGAGCCATGGTTGGGAAAATATGCGCCTGAGTCGCAAGTGTCCTCATCATTGGACTCAGTGCCTCCTCTTGCTCCGATTGTGATTCGGAAGACTCAGTTAGGGCTTTTGCCCTCTTCCAATTTCTCACCGATATTGATAACTACACCATGTACAACTGTATATAACAAGCAGGTACACAATGCCTGCCAGTCTAGGTAAAGTCCAGGGTTGTCCTGATGTAAATGAGGATGCACTATATCAAGGTGATATCCTCTCCACATACAGTGGTCATCTCGAATAATGGCAGTGAGTGTAAGTTAAGAACTGCAATATATTAAAGTAGTTGCAGAGCTCACACTATCTACATCCATTCAGCATGGCTAATCTAGGAGTGAACTTAGGGGAAATATCCAAATATTTTTAGTCCTTACTTATGTACCTATTGTGTGTGAATTAAGGGAATTAATGGATTCCTGATAGCTTCAGCCACTAACAAAACAGTGTAAGTCAATGACTTGGTTAGAGCAATGTGTTTGTCATATTTTTAACACTTATTTTTATTACATTTTATATTTTTGCTGCAATGCATGATCACATTATATTTACCGATTCCTGCTTCACTAAGGAAAGTTTCCGATAAATATTTCTTCTCATGAAACCTGTTACTGCTGTTTGTGGATTGACTAAAAAGAAATACTCACCCATTGATCCACCAAGCTGCTTAAGGACAAACAAACAAAAAGTTGCTCTAAAGATTTCTGGATATGCTAA